GCAAGGTGTTCCAAACCTCCAAAAATGCAAAAAAGGTTCTGTACCATGCTTAATTAAAAAGTTGACTAAAACTGTAAAAGTTGAAATATAACATTAACTAAGGCGTTAAAAAGGAAAAGGAGTGTAAAATACAGTTTATGTAAGTCCTCGGCATTTATTTCATAGAAGAGTACATTCGCAGAATGTATAGTTAATGTTGCAAGACATAGGGTAGTCGGCGTTGACTAGCTGGCTTATGGTAGTGTGGATTGATTTCTAGTGCAGCTTGCAATTGGCTTTGGTAACCGTATAATGTATATGATGAAGAGATTCCTCGCTACTGGATAGATAAAGCGGTGTGTATGTGTAATAATGGTAAATGCGTTTTAAAGCTCTCTCTAGCTGTATATACATATATATATATATATATATATATATATACATGTATATATATATCTATATCTATCTATATATGTAATAATATATTTATGTATGCCTAAGTATGTATGTAAATATATTGGTACATAAATATCTATATATGGATATGTATACACACATATATATATGTATATATATATATATATATTTATTACAACGATATGTATATACTGATGCGTAATGTGTATAAATATGTATATATATATACGTAATAGGAACTGTATATATATATATATGTATATATATATGTATATATATCTATATTGCACAGAAAGGCCCATGTATGACTAAATGCATGGGTTATTGACTACTGTATACAAGATTGATAAGAAAGAACGTAACCAAAATGAACGTTGTAAACGGATGCAGTGTTAGTCACTGTACTAAAGCATGGTGTTTGCATTATACCTGTGACATAGTAGATGGGAAATATAACCCGGAATTATAATTCGTATGGTAATCCAGTGATTACATATGGCAAATGGTTATGCGATAGACATTTGCGGTTTATGAATCTATGTATGAGTATATGCATCTGTATATATATATATATATATATATATATATAAGTGTTTAAAAGTCGCAAATGTATATCGCATAACCAATTGCGATATATACATATACATATAAATTGGATGAGCTATTGGTTCGCATTTACCTTTGGTAAGTGCTACAGCCTTTAATCACGCAAGGGAAAATGAGTTCGCATGACTTGATGGTATGTGATTGCGAAATCCGGTGATTTCTGAGCGGAATAGGTTCTATGCAAGAAAGTGGGTTCAAGAGGCAGTGTGTATGGAGCAATGAATATGGCGTCCTTAAGGGTGACTTACTTAATCGATGGTGTTATGGAAAGAGGGGGAAATGTACAGCTGAAAACCTACCAGCAAAAGCTACGTGATTTCTACGTCAGTGGGAGTAATAACTTGAATGGAATAGTCGGTTTAGTTAACGCTACTGATATATACGGCTATACTTTAGTGTGTTGGATAGGGAGGTAACACAACGTAATACATGGGATGTTGATGTGGGGCGCAAGCTGTTGCCCACATAATGCGGACTTACTTGCATGGCTACATCAATAAATGAACATATCTAAATGGCATATTTGGGAAGTGGTGGTGACATGGTACTGAAGTAGTCAATCTCTTGTTAAGGTGGTGTTTGATTATATGACAAGTGCGCGGACGGGACGCTCAAACCATATGCAAATATTCTCGTGTAAGTGGGGAGCGTTCGTAACGCTCATCACCCACGAAGCGAGAATACTGAAAAATGGTTCATCAAATATCGTTACAGTAGGAGGGGATGGGTCATGAAGGTGAGCCATGCTAAGTGTCGGAGCACTAAAGAAGCAGAATTTAGCGATAATGGAGGGATGCAACAGCATGCTGCAGGTTGAAAATGGCTGCGAAAGCTTAACTTACCGGTTTGTTTGAGCAGGACGATTTTGTTGGCATGCGTCGCGGGGTTGCGAACACGTGTCCAGGTATGAATGCCCCCATACGTGATCTGAAGATTACGGAGCCACCCACGGAACCTGTGATCTTGTAGTCCGCCGCAAGGAGATAGCGGTAGTTCGCATACTTCCAATGGGCAGTGGGACGACAAGACACTGATTCAGGGGGTGGCCCTGAAAAGGGCCGTTGCTCCGTTCTCCAAGGAATGGTAGTGGTGTGGCAACTGGAAGGCGAGGGAAGACTGGACAAGGTGCTATGATAGGATACGTCCGATGCACGTACATAACATGAAATCTAAAAGATAAATGATGATGGACAAGGAATGTAACCTGCGGCGGCGATTTATGGTGTTACCACACGGCGCCAGCGGTACTTGAGAGCAGTGTCTTTGGCAGTGAGAGGTTACAAGTAGGTCGGCGGCAGATATCATTGTCTCTGAAGTAGAGGTGAGCATACCAAATATAAGTTACCGGTGAATACGTATCTATGCAACATCACATGGCGGCGGCGGTACGTGACAGCAGGCTCTGTGCTAGTGAGAGGAAACAAGGGGCTGCGCGGCGGATGTCAGTGGCTCTGAAATAGAGGTGAGCATTGAAAATCTATGTTACCTGTAACTACATATCAATGCGAGGTCACATGGCGCGGCAGTACGTGACAGGAGGCTCTGTGCTGGTGAGAGGAAACAACGGGCTGGGCGGCAGATGTCAATTGCTGTAAAATAGAGGTGAGCCTTGAAATTCTATGTTACCAATAACTACGTATCAATGCAACATCACATGGCGGCGGCAGGTATTTGGAGGAGGCTCAGTGACAGTGGCACGAAGCAAGGCGCTCGGCGGCAGATATCAGTGGCTCTAAAATGGAGGTGAGCATACCAAATATATGTTACCGGTAAATACGTATGTATGCAACATCACATGGCGGCGGCGGTACGTGACAGCAGGCTCTGTGCTAGTGAGAGGAAACAAGGGGCTGCGCGGCAGATGTCAATGGCTCTGAAATAGAGGTGAGCATTGAAAATCTATGTTACCTGTAACTACATATCAATGCGAGGTCACATGGCGCGGCAGTACGTGACAGGAGGCTCTGTGCTGGTGAGAGGAAACAACAGGCTGGGCGGCAGATGTCAATGGCTCTGAAATAGAGGTGAGCATTGAAAATCGATGTTACCTGTAACTACATAACAATGCGAGATCACATGGCGCGGCAGTACGTGACAGGAGGCTCTGTGCTGGTGAGAGGAAACAACGGGCTGGGCGGCAGATGTCAATTGCTGTAAAATAGAGGTGAGCCTTGAAATTCTATGTTACCTGTAACTACGTATCAATACAACATGACATGGCGGCGGCAGGTATTTGGAGGAGGCTCAGTGACAGTGGCACGAAGCAAGGCGCTCGGCGGCAGATATCATTGTCTCTGAAGTAGAGGTGAGCATACCAAATATAAGTTACCGGTGAATACGTATCTATGCAACATCACATGGCGGCGGCGGTACGTGACAGCAGGCTCTGTGCTAGTGAGAGGAAACAAGGGGCTGCGCGGCGGATGTCAGTGGCTCTGAAAAAGAGGTGAGCATTGAAAATCTATGTTACCTGTAACTACATATCAATGCGAGGTCACATGGCGCGGCAGTACGTGACAGGAGGCTCTGTGCTGGTGAGAGGAAACAACGGGCTGGGCGGCAGATGTCAATTGCTGTAAAATAGAGGTGAGCCTTGAAATTCTATGTTACCTGTAACTACGTATCAATACAACATGACATGGCGGCGGCAGGTATTTGGAGGAGGCTCAGTGACAGTGGCACGAAGCAAGGCGCTCGGCGGCAGATATCATTGTCTCTGAAGTAGAGGTGAGCATACCAAATATAAGTTACCGGTGAATACGTATCTATGCAACATCACATGGCGGCGGCGGTACGTGACAGCAGGCTCTGTGCTAGTGAGAGGAAACAAGGGGCTGCGCGGCGGATGTCAGTGGCTCTGAAAAAGAGGTGAGCATTGAAAATCTATGTTACCTGTAACTACATATCAATGCGAGGTCACATGGCGCGGCAGTACGTGACAGGAGGCTCTGTGCTGGTGAGAGGAAACAACAGGCTGGGCGGCAGATGTCAATGGCTCTGAAATAGAGGTGAGCATTGAAAATCGATGTTACCTGTAACTACATAACAATGCGAGATCACATGGCGCGGCAGTACGTGACAGGAGGCTCTGTGCTGGTGAGAGGAAACAACAGGCTGGGCGGCAGATGTCAATTGCTGTAAAATAGAGGTGAGCCTTGAAATTCTATGTTACCTGTAACTACGTATCAATACAACATGACATGGCGGCGGCAGGTATTTGGAGGAGGCTCAGTGACAGTGGCACGAAGCAAGGCGCTCGGCGGCAGATATCATTGTCTCTGAAGTAGAGGTGAGCATACCAAATATAACCTACCGGTGAATACGTATCTATGCAACATCACATGGCGGCGGCGGTACGTGACAGCAGGCTCTGTGCTAGTGAGAGGAAACAAGGGGCTGCGCGGCGGATGTCAGTGGCTCTGAAAAAGAGGTGAGCATTGAAAATCTATGTTACCTGTAACTACATATCAATGCGAGGTCACATGGCGCGGCAGTACGTGACAGGAGGCTCTGTGCTGGTGAGAGGAAACAACAGGCTGGGCGGCAGATGTTAATGGCTCTGAAATAGAGGTGAGCATTGAAAATCGATGTTACCTGTAACTACATAACAATGCGAGATCACATGGCGCGGCAGTACGTGACAGGAGGCTCTGTGCTAGTGAGAGGAAACAAGGGGCTGCGCGGCAGATGTCAATGGCTCTGAAATAGAGGTGAGCATTGAAAATCTATGTTACCTGCGGTGCCTACTCCAAACACATCTTGTCTTCCAGGGGTACAGGTCGTGGAGGTTGGCATGGATGTTGAGCCACGGGATTTTTCGGCTGCAGGAAGAAAGAGAAATGGGAACAGAAATGCCCGTACCCTTCAGGCAGGTTCGAAAAGCGTCAAGAATGACGGGACAAACAAGCTGGAGCCTAAGTCGTATGCTACAGTTGCTTCAACCCCGTCTGATACCTTGCGCCCAGTCTCGTTTTCCGCGGCTAAGCCGGTTGCGGTTCATGTAAATTCCAAAACCCGTTGGGTAAATACACCCCGTCGAGTTGATGCTTTCATGGATAGCAGTGTGATATTCCGTAACGCAGTGGAATCCACTGCTACACTTCCTGCCGAACGTACACTAGACGACCTACAGTGGTTTAAGATGTTGCTCACCAAACTTCTTCCGCCAGGGTTTCCCGGTGTTACTGTCAGGAAACTGACTAGATAGGGTAACGTCCCAGTTAACGCCTCAAACCCTCGACCGCGCTTACTTCGGGTAGTCCGATCTACCCCGGAGGAACGCTACGCGCCGTTGCGGTTTGCCTTCCAATTGAAGGGTACTAATGTTAGTGTTCAGCCAGACCTCGCATTAGCGGATAGGCTGAAGGTAAAAGAAGCCATTAAGGACCTCAAAACCAGGGGAGCGGCCGGTGAACAAGGTCTCCGATTGGTGGGTTTTCGGGTGGTCAGCCGGCGGTCTGTTTCCGCCCTACCAGTGCCAGTACGGGTAGCGCACGACCCAGGGCTGGACATTACGAGTACCTTCAAATAGTGCTAAGCAATGTGCGGAGCCTAAGGAATAAGATGTGCGAGATAGGTCTGCTTGTAGATGGGTCTCATCCCGATATACTTGTTTTCACTGAAACGTTACTGTCTCAAGACATCACGGACGGTGAAGTACATCTGCCTGGCTACGCACGAAGATCTAATACGAAGTTCCCGCAAGTATTTCGTGCAATGACACCGTTTTCATCCGCCACTGAGGCCGCGAAACATTATATCGTCACGAAAGGTCCGCCTGTTTTTACCAAAGGCAGGCGAATGCCACCTGACAAGTTGAAAACTGCTCGCGCAGAATTCGAGCACATGCTTGAAGTAGGCATCGTTCGCCCTTCTAACAGTCCCTGGGCGTCGCCGCTCCACATGTTGCCCAAAAAGTCTGGAGACTGGCGTCCATGTGGTGATTACCGCGCGCTCAATAACGTTACTGTTCCCGACCGATATCGTATTGCTCAAATTCAGGACATCACGGCAAGCCTGCGCGGCACCCGTGTGTTCTCAAAGATCGATCTTGTTCGCGCGTATCACCAGATTCCAGTCGCTGAGGAAGACATCCCTAAGACTGCCGCAATCACGGCTTTCGGGCTGTTCGAATTTCTACGTATGCCGTTCGGTCTGCGCAACGCAGCCCAGACTTTTCAACGATTTATCGATGCATTCACTAGAGGTCTAAATTTCGTCTATGCATACATCGACGATATCCTAGTTGCCAGCGCCTCTGAAGAACAGCACGCAGAACATCTCAAAAATACCTTTCGATAGGCTGGCCGCTAATGGCATCCCTGTCAACCCCGACAAATGCGTATTTCAGCAGCCTTCCATCGAATTCCTTGGCCACCATATCGATCAGTATGGCATACGGCCTCTAGATGATAGAGTCCACGCCATCATAGACTTTCCGGTTCCGACTACGTTAGCCGCTATTCGCCGTTTTAAAGGCATGCTCAACTATTATGGACGTTTTCTTCCACACTGCGCCAATTTGCTAAGTCCACTAATTGACCTACTTCGTGGACGTAAAAACGGTCAGTTGGAACTGACTGCCGCTCCTGCTGAAGCTTTTAAAGTCAGCTTTAAAAGTCAGGCGCCGTCCTACAGCTACATACAAATAGAGGCAGGAAACCTCTTGCATTCTACTCTAGACGCCTACAACCCGCCGAAGTCAAGTACAGCACGTTCAGCCGCGAACTGCTAGCCGTTTACTCTACAGTTCGACATTTCCGACACGTCCTCGAAGGTAACACCTTCATTATCTTCACCGATCACAAGCCGCTTATCTACGCATTCCGAAATCAATCAGCTGGACACTCACCACGTGAGATTCGTCAGCTGGATTTCATTGCTCCATTCTCGACTGATATCCGACACATTTCTGGCCAACGATACGTCGTCGCTGATGCTCTTTCAAGAGTATCTGCGATTGGTCCTGCCGGGCAGGCAATCGATTTGTCTGCTATTGCCGCTATGACGCTATGCTATGACGCTTACCAACTTCCCCCATTTTGTGTTATTGGCACGGTTAAGGAGGACACGGGTGGGAGCCCGCTAGGGTCCGATCGCCTGGTTCTGCCCCAGCAGCTGCATCAGGTTTCACTACCTGGTCTCGCAGAAGGCTGGCCCGCCACGGACAGTCTTCACGTAGATCGAAGGGTCACCCACGGTTTCCCTTCTAGGAGGCGGGCTGTGTAGCGACCTGGAGATTACCCCGTATCACTGTGTAAACTATTCTAAAATACATTCAAATTATAGCTTTCTTATGTATTAGGGAACTAGGCGGTTTTCGGTTTAGATCTATCAAGAAGTAACACCTTATCATTTTCTGGCTCAACGATTTGCTCAAGAAGGAACACTTAAAGGATTTTCCTATCGTTCCAGTCCATCTGAATCTGAAGGCTAAATAATGAGGGTTATGCGTGCAATAACGGTGCTGAGCGGTTCAGTTCCTTTTCCTTTACCATAAACAAGGCTGCCCCTGTCTGCCTATAAGGCAGCTACAGTGTTCCTTTGAGGAACGTTCTACCGCAATGACCAATAATGCCATGAACCCTGGAGCAATTTGCGGCGAGGAAGCCTTCACGCAGTATTGAAGATGCGGACGGAAGATATGCGAGAACATCCTCGCAATCATGTCAGCAGTTACGACCCCGAAAGAACGGCGTTCCAACCGCTACATTCTGAAACCCTTACTAGCGACATTTTTCCAGTTGTCAACAGAATGCAAAGCGGAGGAATGAAGGACACCTAGGTGCACTTGGTTGGGGACAAGTGGGAGTTCCGCCTCACGGAGTACGTAGCTCGAAGGCGGGAAGTTTGCTCCAAAACGAAGGACGGAACACGTACGCTGATTGATGGCCAGTAGGCACAAAGTAGACCAGTCCCAGAGCGTAGCACCGCAGCGTTTGTGATAGCCTCAATCGGGGTACCTTATCAAATGATTTCGAGGTAAACCAAAAGCACAACCGTCAGGTGGCCATTGTCCGCTGCCTTCCATTCGGAAGTAAATGTACAGTTGTCAAGTGAAATGAAAAGCACCATGGTCAGCGATCCCGTCACTTACACCGGCAGCTCTTGCAGCAGCTTCCGGTGAATGGAATCAGCCGCAGCAGCTTCGGACCAGTGCACTTCTTGCAGCAGTTTAAGCACGTGCGTTTATACACCACTTAAAACAGCTACATAACAAACCATCCGTGTCTTACAATCACAGCGCGCGGCGTTGTAATTGGAACACACAAGGCACGATGAATGACACCCAGGCCAAACGTTGCACAGCTAACCAAATAAGGAAGGACATATACAGTTGGGGAAGAAAGCCATTGCCGTGGGAACTTACCGATTGCAAGCGGTTTCTATTTGCAGAGTTCATTCATGCGGTATTCCATTACTATTTCTGTGTATCTCTAAAGAAAAGTAATGTAAACAACGTGAAACGGAACTTACCCACAACAACGCGCACATGTATATGCCGCTTCCCCATGGTATGAAGCGCAGGTTTGATGAAACCAACGCAAGCAAACATCACAACTTATCCACTCGACGATCTCAGAGCTCCCGCACGCGTCCTCTTCCTCCCCACACAAATAGCAAACCGCACTGTCCGCTTCCTTTTCAGCGGTGCCTCTCTTTGTACCCCATGTGTATGTGCGGTGGCGGGCAGATGTCCTTCTTTTAAGCGTCATAAATGTCAACTCCCGTGAAGTCATGCTGCCTTCCACCACCTCAACTGCACGGGTTAGCAAAGGCGACTTCCGCCTGCGACGCCTGCGTTCGGCGCAAGGAGACTGGGAAACACCAGCCACCGGGGACACCAATGTGACCCCTTCGCTGACTTCCCTCTCCGGTGAATTCATGCCGTCACGCGTACCATTGCCCGCCGTCACGTGGGTAGCTGCAGCGGAGGATGACGGCTCCATTCCCTGGAAAGTAGGTAGGTTTTCCGAGGATAACAGTTGCAGCTGCTGCAACTGCGATGACCGCGCGTAAAGCTGAACATCATTGTGGCTTGTGAGCAGCTCCCGCACGCATGCGAACACACCCATGGTGCGCTGGAACTCCTCCGTGCCCATGCTCAGAATCTGCGTTTCCAGAGACGCAAACATATCCCGA